CAAATAATATAATCTAGTTAATATAATGAGCTCTACTAGTTCTAGTTAATATAATCAGCTTTACTAAAAAGTCACACTATTTTCCTTTAATCTAGGTGGAGGTAACTACAGGCTGCTAATGTGTACAGTATAAATGTTCACTCCCAGGGATAAAGGACTGGCTTGTTTACTACTTACTATAATGCCTGCTGTTTGCTCAAAAAGTTTTGAACACTTGCCCCTGGGTTACTCAGTTGGGGTGAGAATCTCACATGCAAATCATCTACCTGGACCCCTCACATAACCCTATGTGACTATGTGAGTTGAACACAAAAGGGAATTGCCACAAATATATTCATGTTTACACTGCTTGCTGTGCCATGACTCATGAAAAGGTGACAAAGGTGTCTCTTACTTGGGAGTCCTGTATTTTAAATGGTTGTATAAAACTGCTTAAATCCTGCCTTTCTATTATTGAACAAACTGTATAGTCTCCAAATTGACTTCATTTCTTCTATGTTTGCTACTTATGAAGTCATTTAAAATAACTTTATAGTATATGTGGCATATTCTCTTATATCCATAAATGAACCTAAGCTGTTGGGACAGGTGAGAATAATGTATATTTTCATTCTTAGAGCACAGAAAATTTTATAGCACATAGAAGCTGCTTATTAAACATTTGACAATGAAAATGAAATGGGGACATATGATGATATTCAAATAAATCTTCCCAATTTAAACAGCTTAAATCTATTTTAGAAGAATAACTCATCTGTACCATGCACTTAAGACATAGTTTTGAAATGCAAGGATTATATGTAGCACTATGGGTGGATAAATTGACACCATTTTGAAGTCTAACAGAGGAGGAGGGATGGACAAAATTGTTATAAGAAGAAGAGGAGGCAGGAGGAGTGGTCTTTGCAATTACTGTACATTTCCATAAACTCAACTGTGCCTCTTATGAGAGCCAAAATTAGTGTTTATATTTAACTAAAATCTTTATGGGTGCACGAATCAGCTTCTTGAACATCATGAGAAAATATATTCCATGGAGTCTCGTGAAGGTGACTAAGAAAATTAATTAGATCAGCTTTCACAGTGTAGCATGAGTCAGACAATCATGAAAATTAGAGCAGGATAGGGCCTTGGAGATCACCTTGTTCAACACCTTCATTTGGCAGAGGAGGAAATTGAAACCAGATTGGCAGGAATAATTTCCCAAGGTCGCACAGATCATTAGAAGTAGAACAAGGCCTCAAACGTAAGTATTCAAAATCCAGTTAGGGTGCTTTCACCTGAATAAAGGTCATGCTATTGCAGAATGTTAAAAAATAAAATGGAATAAAGAGATCTCTCATTAAATACATGTTAAAGATTTAAAAATGAACAAATTTATAGGTGCATACCCATAAATAGATAATATTTTAAGTAAAATGCATAGATATGCACATATGTTTTATTTCCTTTTTAAAGAACATTGAAAATATGACTTTTCTCCTAAAATTATGCTGTGCATTTTATTTTAACAATTATTAACATGAGGACGTTGTTGATAATTATGTAGGCATAAGCAGTGAAACTGAGACAGCTATTCAGAATATATAATTAATTTCCTCCACAGTTCATTTCATTTTATATTAAAATTTTTTCTACATTTCCAAAATTTAATCTAACACTTGAAAATTAAAATCAAAATGGATGATATACCAGAGTTTTTTAATATTCGTCTTCCTTTCTTTGTACGGTAACATATTTTTTTTAAGCAGAGCACAGAGCCATTCAACTAAAGACCAAATTCTTAAACATTTTAGCATTTAAAATGACTTTATCATATATTCTGGGCTCTGAATTGTAAATGGTATGATATACTCCACTCAGGTGACATCCCTCAAGAAAGAAGTGTGTGTTCTCCAACCCCACCCCCATTTCTTATTCACTTCTCATGGAATGGAATCCTGTACTGATAGCTAAAATAATCACCTTTTTTCCCTAGGACTAAGATGTGTGTGGAAGAAGACAGAGCAACTACAAGGGACCAGGGTCTCTAATACTCTGCTCCACTACATCAGCATGAAAGTCATATTGAGTTATTTACATGAGAGAGAAAATACTTCTATGTTGTGCAAACCATAATTTGAGTACTTTTCTTCACAGCAGTTTAGTATATACTCTAATACAAGTGGGATTGATCTGACTGGGAAATGAAACTATTTATATTAATAGACAATTGTATGAGCAGATTAGACAAAATTGACTTCAACAATGAACATTTGCTGTATTTCACAATGATACCACTTCTTACACTCTAAGAGTAATTTGAAAATGTAATTATGTATTTAATGATTCATTGTGCATATTCTGATATTGAAACAAATACTTATGTTAGATTGCACCCTGTACACTTTCCATGTGTTCAGCTTGAATTCATGGGAAAATCTGCCAATTTAGAGAATTCAATTCCAAGCTCCCATCTTCAGCAGTCTACCTTCACTCTCTTTCCTCTGTGCTCTCCTGGATTTCCCAGAAGGACACACTTTTAATAAACTTCTGATGTCCTTTGACACTATAATTGTTATTTACTAATCCTTATTTTCCTTTGAAACCATACACCTCTGTGTCAAAAGTTTTAATTCTCAGTGCACACATGATACTCAATGTCTTTGCCTTTTATCTTTTATCTTCTCAGATCTACGTGATATGTTCCTACTCATCCTCTATATTTTTGTTCAAATTTTACCTTTTCTGATGCTTCTCTATGAAAAATGCCACTCTCCTCGCAATCATTATCACATCAACAGATGTATTTCTTTCATAGATTTAATACTATATGAAGTTTAGTAGGCATTTATTTGTGATTGTGATTGCCTCTCTTCTTAAGAGGTGTTAAGGATTCTTCAAAGACAAATATGGATACAGTTTCAGTTTTCAATAGATTTAAAGAACAGTGAAGGCAGCAATCACTTAATAAATGATTGGTTAGGTAGTCATTGCAATGATAATGAAGCTCTTACAAAAATTAAGTATTAGTTTGATCACTAACAGTATTCATTCATCTCTTACATATATGAATCCTAAGGTCTCTGATTCTCAGCACTGTGAAAAATATGGAATAAAACTGAAAATCTTGGTAAAGCACTACATAGCAGTGATGAGTCCATAATAAACTACAACATGACACATTTTATGCAAATTATTTTTTTTATTTTTGAGCTAAAGAGTTAATAATATAATGAATAATCATTCCCATTTTTGTCCTGGAAGTTAGGCATTATTCTCTCTTTACCCAAGTGAAGGATAACTAACAAAAAAAACCATATGTAGTCAATGACTTAATTATGAAACATTGAAGTATTTGAAACTATTATAAATTATTTGTTTACATATAATGAAAAATAATAGACCATTTAATTGTTTTTCTTTTTTTGGTACTGAGGATCAAACTCAGGACCTTGCACTTGCCAGGCAGGCTAGGCACCAGTGAGCTACATCCCTGACCCTAAAATATATTTTTAAACAAAAGATTAAACTTTTTCCAAGGTAAATAATATAAGACTAGTTCTATCAATACGAATTTATTTTTCATTCTGTATTTTCTGTTATATAATTCTGAATGCATATGTTCTCCCAAAGACATTAATTTTGTTTTGTTCATTTTCTTGATTTCATAATTGAATACCACAATTTAGCTAAGCTGACATATAAAAGTAACAATTGCAGTAGCCAAATGAATTCTTTTTTTTTAAATGAATTCTTTATCAACAAAATAAGAATAAAAGTAATGCATATGGCTTCCTCAAGGATAACCTGTCAGATATCAGTGCAAAATCAGTCCTGTGTTTCTTGTCTAAGGAATAAAGGAAGTATGTGCTAAAAGAGATTACCCAGCAGCTTGGGTACTACAATAAGCAGAATCTGGCCAACTGTTTTGTGCAGGTACAATGAGTGAAAAACAAACTATTGTTGTGCTGCAACATTGCAAACAGAGTATGAGTGTTGTGACAGTGTAATCTTGTACAGCATTTCAGTTAGAGGCTCCAAACCCAATCGCTTAGGAGAGAAAATGCTGGGTTGGGGGCTCTGACTTCTTCATTCTCTGGTACAGTAATGATACCCCCCACATTTGTTCTCAATCCATTGATTATACCTGGCCTCATGGACCACCCTAACTAGGGAGAGGAAATCATGGATATTTGGTGAGTAAATATTGTCAGTAGTTGTGTGAAATTCATAAATTAATAGATTTTGTTACTAGATAAATGGAGAAATTTAAAATACAACATTGTGTATGAGTCTGGTAATGATATATAGATATAGATATATAGATATAGATATAATCAGTTTATAAATTCCCAGAAAGTACTTAGCTGATTTCCTAATTTTAAAATGGCTTGTAATAACATTCTTATAAAAGTTCACTTCATTTGTTTATTGTATAGACTTTTATCAATTACTGTCATATAACTGACAATTCAATTTTATCTGCCATGAACTATTTTGAAACTTGATAAACTGATTCAACTATACTAAATAAGCAAAATAGTTAATTAATGGAAAAGTTATCATTCTCTACTGATTTCACAGAATTTAAATGTTATGTGGTCCAGAATTTAATTTCTTAGAAGAGAAATCTTTCTGACAGCGGATTGAATGAGAATATGATATTACTCCAAACACAACACATATTATTTCTTAAGAAAATATATTTCCAAGACCTCATATTAGATATTTACTTGGCTTCCAGATTAGGAAATGAAAATGGACTGCATTTGCCTATGTCTGAAGGAAAGCAGAGAATCAGGAGAAGGAAGAAACCATGCAAACCAACTTTAAGAAATGTGTGACACAAAGGAATATTGGACAAAACATGTTTTAAATATAGCTAGTGCTTTGAAAATTCTTCCTGAGTCTGTTTATTTCTGAAGGCTTGACATTTATTGGGTCAAAGGAAACTATTATGCCAATATTGATTTTACAATAAAAGGTACAAATTGCAAAATAATTTTTAAATCTTTTAGATGTGTCTGATTGCTGTTTCTTAAGAATAAACACTTGGAAGTTCTGATTGGATTGGGTAAGTCTACCTTGTTTACACCGAGCAATTGGAATACAATTTTTGATATGATTTTATTTATATATTTGAATTTCTGTCAAGGCATAAGTAAATCAAGCTCAATTTTATTTGAGAATCTCATTTACACAAAATAACTCTATTACTGTCATCTAACACAGGGCCAAGATTTAATTCTTTTCCTTCTTTCTGAATTTCCTGTATATAACATTATTCTAAAATTTATCCAGCACAGCCAAACATTAAAAAGAAAAACCACAGAAGTGTCTTTTCTTTTCAAAGTGAAATGATAGTAATTTTATTGTCTACTAGCTGAAGAGTGCATAGAGAGACATAGTTTTGGTCATCTACATGCAAATAAGCATTAAACCATAATTTTAGTTTGTAGTGCTATATTATTTACCAGTTCTGGGTATACTTATAATTCATGCAACAGATAATTGCAGCATTATGTTCCTTTAAATACCATTAAAAAAAGAACAGGTGCAGTTTCTGAACACTAAGGACAATAAACCAATCTGTGTTTAGAGCAGCATGCCTAGTGCAAAGAATGAGTATGCTACTGACACGGTGGAATTTCTAAACTGTAGATGATGTTAGAAAACAAAAGGTCATTTTTACTTCCTTAGTTAGTAGTCTTTCACATTCCTATATCATTTACTCCCCAAAGACAAAGATAATTTATAGAGAAATGATTACATAATTCTCTATAATAGATATAATACTGGGTTCAGAAAGTATTTCTACAATAAAGACAAATGAAAAGAAAACCAATGATGGTAAGCCAGTTGTATATTTAAAACATAATAATGAACTGAAATTTGTTCTTTAGAAGAATTCTTAAAGACTCATAGATTTATTTCAGAATAATGATTTGTTGTTTGAACTTCTGAATATGTAAGTCAATGTGGTTGTAGTATAAAAAAATAGAGCTCCAGGGAAGGAAAATTGATGCAGTAGGAAAGAATTATTCAAGAAAGGATTTTGAAAACATAGAGTTCCATTTGACTCAGCTATTCCCCTGTTGGGTATCTTCCTAAAAGAATTAAAAGAATCATACCATAGTGATATGTGTGCACCCATGTTCATAGCAGCACAGTTTGTAATAGCTAAAATTTGGAAACAGCTCAATTGCCAATCAACTGGAGACTGGATAAAGAAAATGTTTTTTTTTTAAAAAAAATAAAATGCAGTACTATCCAGCCATAAATAATGAGAAACTAGAAATGTTTATAGATAAACAGATGCACATTAAGGCCATACTCTTAAGTGAAATCGATTTTGCTTTTGTTATGAAAATTTCTGTGTGACTTTAGATTTATTTCTTATCTATCTACAAGTTTTTTATGAGTAAAACTCTTGACAAATCTTTAAATGTTTTGACTGCATGTGTGACTTTTACTTTTATACTTAAAAAAAATGAAAACTCTGCTTTTTATTTAATCTTTCCCTGCCCCATTTGTCCCACCTTCATGCTTCTTTTGGAGCCTTCAGATGTCTATATCTGGGACACATTTTTTATGTTGTTGGATTGTTTTACTTATTTAAGTCTTTGATCAAAACATTTTTTCTTCCTCTTGTAAGATGATTAATGAGATTTAGTGCCCTTAAATATTTTTATAAAACTTCATTAACTACTGTCTTATTATCTCAGGAGAAGAATGGGCTAACACCCACCACATTTCCCTCCAACCTAATACCTGTTGATCACTTAATGCACTAGACCTTGTTCTAAGAGGATTGGGTATTATCTTGCTTATTTTTCTCAACAACTCTAAGAGTTGACATGGCATTCTGGAGGAAATGGCTATACAGCCAGAGATTTTATATTCCAATCAATTTCACACCCAGGTATGGCAATTCACAAGTCATGACAATGAAGTATGAAGGGCAGAAATAGCAAATGTTTTGGGCCCTTAAAAAAATTAAGGCCACTCATCAAAAATGTAAGCCTCCATAAGCCAGCAATTCTGAATGATGAGATGAGGAAAGGTACAAGTTCCCAAGTTTATATAACCCTATTTTCTATCCTCTACTAATCTGGTACCATGTTGGGTTCATTAAATAGGGAAATTAATCTCTACCGTGTTTATTCATTAAGAGTTGGGGTCTATTTGTTCCACTCGCCATAACTGATGCCGATAAATATTTTTATCCCCACTCTACAGATGATGAAGCCAAGACCAAGGGAGGTTAGATTACTTCCTTGTCTAGAGGTACACAGTAGAAGTAAGAGAAGTTGTCTAAAAACAATATCTTGTTACAAAAAGATTAATGAAAAGCCTTTAATAATATTAAGTGCATTAGGCTATTAAGAATGTTACTTACACTGGAGAGTAACAAAGTAATTATTACCAGATTAGCTATATAATTTCATGTAACACTGAGATAATAATGATAAAAACACAATAGTAAAGTTTGTATTTTACTACTAGATCTATCCTAACTCGGTAAGTAATATCTCTGTCAATCTATATCCCTTGCTAAAATCCCACAGCTTTGTAATAGCTTCTGACTCCTGCATCTTCAAATAGACATTCATTCACCTAGGTCTCTTTCTACTCCCTAAATATTCCCTAAATTTATTTCCTAAATATATTTCATATGCATGCCTTTCTTCTGTGAGAAGCCGTGTCATCCATTGCACAGATGTCACTTTCCCCTAATGCCAACTTCTATTATCTACATTTTATACCAGCACTAAAAGAAAATGTTTAACAATTTGATTGACTAATACCATATTTCTATTTAAATAATCAGTAACTCTATATCATGGACTGGTTAAGCCCATGAACACGTCTTTATTTGTTTTTCTTCTATTATTGCCCTTAAATTTTATGTGCAGTTAACTCTGCACTATTTTAACTCCAGGCCCTTAGTGTATTTAACATTCTACATTGCTTGTTTGTAACTCACCTTAAAGAAAAACATTTGCTAATGCATACAACATTGAGTTGCTGGAGTGCTAAGAAAGCAAATACAGTGTTCAACAAAGATTTGAACTGATCATCCTGGCTAATTTGTGGAATTAAGTTAACTTCCTCTAGCAAAAGCTTATTAATCATCCATAATCTAAACATTAATTGGTAGTATTCTTTAATATGAAATTTATGAGAACTTTAGAACCTGCATATAAACTACCAAGTGATTAAAATTTTCAGAACATAGATCTCGTGTTCATATACCTGTACATTTGCTTATAATGTCCTTTCTGGCTCCTAAATATGGGTTATTTATCTAGGAAGTGCCTAATTGATTATTTGAAATCTTACATATAACTCTGACATCATTTTGAGACTTTTATTTCCCAGCAGAATCAGGCTGAGTTATGCTTAGAGCACCATTACATTATACTATTGTATTTTGTGTAATATATTATTCAGTATGTCATGGGCAAGTGTGTTACCCTGAATATTGCCATTATATTGAGTTTTAGAGGAACCTGTTTCAATGGATCAGTACTGAATTACATTTTAAATAGTTTCTATGTTTTATCTTATTCACTTGTAAGTTTCTTCATAGCATAAATCCTACTTATCTTGCTCTTCACATTAGAGGGTCATTTGATAAAAAAAAAATGGATATTTAATGTTTAAGGGATCAAAATCAAAACATAGACAAATATTTATTCAGAATTTACAGCACTCTATCATGTCTTAGGGATTCATGGTGAATTTGAAATATGCCTGCAAGTTCTTTGACTCTCTTTACTTCAAGAGATAGAACTTAATTACTCTTCACTTGCCTGTGGGTGATAAGTACGTCTAATAGAGAAAAACAAAGATAATGACTAGAACTTCAGAGGAAAAAAGAAACATAAAAGGTACTGATTTATTCTAACTTTTTTTTTTTTTTGTACCGGGGATCGAACTCGGGTCCGTGCGCTTGCGCAGCAAGTGGCGAAATCCCTCAGCTAAACCCCCGACCCTGAATTATTCTAACTCTTACACATGGATCACCAAGAAAGCTAACATATAAGAAGGACAGTTATGGAGCATTTGGACAACTCTTCCCAACTGTCATGCAAGCAAGCCATCCCAGAAGGCTTCCTATGCCCACAGCCTGGGTAAAAGCTTGGCTGCAGCCTCACAGAGATTGTAAGTAAAAGCTCCCACCTAAACCTCTCCCCAAACCCTGACGCATAAAAATTAAGAGGTAATGAACATGTGTTATTTGAAGCTACTACAATTTAGGAAAAGAGTATTATACATCTCTATATAAGTAATATTTTATAATTTAGACTACAACTATAAATTTAGTCTCTAAGAATTTGCGATGATTTGTGGATAAAATTATAGTGCAAGATAGTTTATTGAGTAATTATACAGTAATAAAATAATTGCTTCAAAAATATTTACTAAGAATCTATTATGTCATTTTGAAAATAAGTGTATGTATTATGATTTACTAAGCTCACTTCTGAGCATGTATTACAAATAATTCCCACAAATCTGAAGGAAACATTTGAGCAGCACCTTTTCTGGCATAATATGTGTGGTGGGGTTTCAAGATAGTTTTGGGCATACCACCAGGGAAGAGATGGAAAAATATAGTTAGGCAGATTACAATGTATTCTGCAAAAGCTAAGTCACATCATGCAGATACAATTCATGGATGTTCAAAACATATTTGATGAAGAAAGTAATAATCAAAAATGCAAAACATAATTGGTAAAATTAAATATACATAATTGAATATATACATATTTTAGTATGACACATTCAAATTAAAAAAAATTATTACATCCACCAGATTGAATACCTCTGCTGAGACAGAGAATGGAAAATAGAATAAAGGATAAAGAGGAGAAAATACAAATATATATATAATATATATCCTATATATTATTATATTTAAAATTAGACAATGTTCTGACATAAGAAAGGAAATGATAACAATGAACTGATGTGTGTGATCAATCCAAATTTTTATACCCTAATTCCATAAAACCAAACTGTGTTGATAAAGCAAAACCAACAAAAATTACCACTACATTTCTTGAACTTGGGAATTAGTAATAGAGTAATGAAAAAGAGACATGAATTTCATTCTCAATAAACAAGTGAAGCAATAAGTAAATGGGAAATATTAAATAAATTTAAGTGCTACAAAACTATTAAGAATGTGAAATTCTACAGAATAATGTGTGAAGACTACCTTGGGGAAGATCTCAGAAAAGCCTCTGAAGGGATGTATTATTTGAGATGTGAGTGAAATGATTAGAGTTGGCTATTTGTTGAAGCTATGAAAAGTATATGTACCTCAGGATGAGTACAGGTATCTCCACACTGCATGAAAGGAATAACAAAATCAGTGTGGCCGCGGCATCATGAGTTACTGAAGTGTGATGAAACAGTATTATATTAGTCACAGGAATCAAATTTGTATTGTAGCTTCACTGAAGAGGGGAGAAAAATGTACAAAATAAGTATGCTGAGTGCTGTGTAATGAATCAACTAACATGGAGAGGTGGGCTGGAGGAGACTCATGTTATTGAGTTGTTGTTCCCCAGCTATAATTGTAATTTTAGGAAGATATGATGGCTTGTTCAGTGTTGACAGCAGTAGGGTGAGAAAGACATTTGGAGAAGGCTCTAGAAATGGACCAAGGTCAAATAATCAAGTGGGCTAGATGGGGGACTTTGATTTTACTCCAGAGCAAATGGGCAGAAATGAAAGTATATGATCTCATTTATATACTTCATGTTCCATGACGATTGTAATAATGCCAATTATCATACATTTGCATTTAATAAATGATCATGGATACTTACACATGATTATGTTTTTAAGTTATAGCCCCTGGCTAAACTAGAGGATCAATGCATTCATCTTAAAGCATGACTTGAAAAAAGATTATAAATTGTAAATAAATAAACATTGTGTATAAATAATTAATAAGTAATTGATTCTAAGTTGTTTATATTCATCATATCCTTTGAATGTTGTGAGATCTTTACAATATATGGGAAAGGCAAGATACAACACAATAAAAATGACGTTATACTTAAAAAAAATAATACATACAGTAATATAGTATCCAACTTCTTGTTAAAAAAAGATCTTGCCATTAAATGTAGTAAAAAACAAGTACAGAAAAAGGATAAGACTAACGTTTGTGTATGCACAGTGAACAGTTATTCATTCCACAGCCATCTTTTTAATGATTGAAAATATTCCAAGATAGAGTATAATACAGTGAAATCATACTAGGGTAGAATTTTTATCTAAAATCTCCAAAAATTTACGTTGCTCTCATCTTTTGCATTTCTATTTACCTTTTGTTTAAAACATACAATTACATTATATATTTCACTTGGAGAATATTTTTAAAAATTGACTTAGTATTTAGAGGTCTAACAAGCATCTAACAAACATTACTTCACAAAGTCTTCATCATTTTAGATAAATATATTCAGCTGTCAATTTCAGTCAACTCCATCCATGTCATATGAATCCCTTCTTTGCTATCTCTATTTGCAATTTACCAGTTGCAATTTTTAATCTAATACATTTCTACATTATTTTGCTAAACTTCTTTCTTTGCTTCCCTCTGTGAATATTTTATTCATCAAAATGTTTAACTCTTTAAAATAATGCTTTTATCTTTATCAGATGAAATTTAAATTAACAGAAACTTACAATTTTAATATATTTATATTTTTCATCTTATTCACTTTCTTCATCTCCACATACATTTTTCATATAGTCCACATGAGTCTTGTTATATAGAAGAATAATTATTTTTGGCACAATTTTTAATAAATTTTTAAAGAGACTGTTCAAAACAACTATAGGAAGTAAATTTAAAACTAGAAGAGCTATAAGTTTAAAACTAGAAGAGCTGTGAAAAAAGAATGTCTAAGGTGACCCGATCACAAATAATTGTGCATGGTATATGGGAGACATTTGTTAAATACTTGAAATCGAAAACTTATTTAACTAAATTATCTTCCAATAAGTTAAACTTATATGACATTCTTAAAGATGGGTTCATTATATTATCCATTCAAATTTAGGTATCTCTAATTCTTACAATATCTGGATGGGAGGCTATGACTTTTCCTAAAATGAGCGATAAATAAAATGAGGTGTAATATAGCTATGTGTTCATTACCCTTCATACAATGAATGATGAGAAACACAATTTGAATCTTTCTAGGCAATAAAAAAGCTTTTGTTTGTAATTACCAGCCTCAACTGATGGAACTGCAGGGAAAAAAGGCAGGAGTGAAATTTTAAATATGCTTTCTTCCTACTAAGCTATTAGGAGCTCTATATGAGAGGATAGTATATAAGAATATCACGTAATCAGGTTTCCATTTTTGAACAAAGAATTACTCTGACAGCTGTGTGGAGAGGAAATTGATCTGACCTGAGACTGGAGGCAGAGAGATGTATCCCAATTAATATATGGACATTTTCTGAGATGAGAGCGCAAGGCTTGGAACTAGAAGAAATGAAAGTATAAAGGGGTGGGGGAGAAAAGGGAAGGAGAGGAAGAGGGAGACAGAGCAAGAGAAACAAAGTATTGCAAGAATTTTGTGGAATGAATGCAGTGTGGTCACAGGAAGAGGAAGAAGGTCAGGGTGTGGCATCATAGAAACCAAGAGAAGAGAGTTTCCAAAGGCTATAGAAGGGACTTTTAAAGCAATTATCTTCTGGGTGACAAGAAATGATAAGCCCTTTGATCTGGCAATTTTCCATCCATTATTTTTTAATTCTTTTATGGGTACATTTTAGGTATACAATACGTTTACATTTATCACTGGGTGGTTGTATCTGTGCATGATGTATCTTGGTTCTTATTTTTTTCCCCATTACCTGCATGCCCTTCACCCCCTCCACCCTTCCGTATTTACACAGATTTCATTTCCATTTTTTTTTCTTTTCTCATAATTTTTCTTTCCCTTCTTCCCTTTCTCCTTCCTCTCCCACTACCCCTACACCTTTGGACCTTTTCTTCCTATTTCAGATTATCAATTATTCATTTTAATCATTTTAATCCTTATTTACACTTTCAGTTTCTCACAGTAGAGAAACTATTTGGTATTTACACGTGTGTCCTTTTTATTTTACTTAAAAGTATGATCTCAATATGCTTCCATTTAGCTATAAATGACTCTAGTTTCTCATTCTTTATGGCTGAGTAGCACTCCATTTTATAAAAAATACCACATCTTCTTTATGCAGTTTCCAGTTGATGGGCACTTGGGCTGTTTCCAAGCTTTCACTATTATGAACTGTGCTGCTATAATTTTAAGACTGATGGAAGAAGATAGCAACATGGGACTGAAAGCCTTGCTACAGTGTCCCAAATATTAGATGATAGACTAATAAGGAAGAGGGAGTTACTCTAAAGTTAAAGGAAGAAATGAATATTTGTTAAATTTATTATGTACTATATGCTAAACACATTGTATTTTCTGTGAAACAAAACCACCATCACTTTCTTCTTATTTTCTACATTACAAATAATGCAATCTGGCTTTATAGAATTTAAGGAAAGTTTTTCATTGATTGAATAATAATTTCTTCATTAATATTGAGAATCTTTCTCCTAGTACATGCAGACAGCTAAATATGCATAACACATATTTGAGGTGAAGAAGTTACCGCATAAAAAGAAAAAGCATTGAATTATTTAATTCCAATTTTCCAAATCACCTTCTCAGTGTGAAACAAGAACTAAAAGGATACAGATGTGATTCAGAAAGCCATTTGGCAGGCCATGGCAGATCAGAGAGTCATCACGAAATCCAGAACGCTTAGATGATTGTTGGGCTTTGTGCTTTGTCCCTTGTATTAAACATAGTTGTAGGTGGTAGTGCTTGAGAAGGGAACCCCTTTCACGTTTAAGCTTCAGTGAAAAAGGGAGTCAGCAGCCCAACTGAGGCTCTATGTAGCTTTGCCACGAAAGGAACAACAGAGACAGATGGGCCTCAGAAAGACTGACAGAAAAGCCAAGCCCTTCCTTAAGTCTATAGTGTGAAAGGCAAAGGATCGCAGTGACTCGAATGTAAACATCAGGAAGATGCAGTGTGGCTTGTGCAGCTGTGTCCTGAAGTCTGATTCTAGACAGACTTCAGTAGGGGCAGCCCCTCCACAGGGTCTGAGCAACACAGCTGGAGTTCCACCAACAGATCACTTACGACTGAGTGGCACTTACAAAATCCATGCTGGATCTAGAATCAGCCTATGAGGAAGGAGAGAAAATCCTACGGAGGTATTTTATAGCTAATGCAGTGGTGATACAGACTATATTTGAGTTTTAGATTGAGAACAAATGTAACTTAGAGTTTAGACTAACTTCCTGAAATACAAATAAATGGATCAAGGTCAAGCTACAATATTTCGGAAAAAATTGTTATTTTTTCACATCTGAGGAATAACTTTCAAAATCATATGGATCATGTCTTGTTACATTTCTTTTTTATCATTATATTGTATAATTTAAATGTTACATTTCTTTTTTCTGAGAAGAAAATCATACTAGAGCTCCTACTAGTAAAGTAGTAGGGAAGCTGGGAAGGGTGAAGGAAGGATAGAATAAACACTTTTAAATCACTGAAGAAAATGAGAAAAACTGCTAATTTATTGCTGAGGGAGTCCATGTAATTCAGGTTTGAGGCTATATTGCATATGTCATAAATTTAAAAAGTGGGTTATCTTCAGGCAACTTTTTATGTCACACACACTTTGTCATATATATATAATATATAAATAGATATATTCTATAATGTATCTATTAATTAAGTATTAGATGTTAATTATGTTAAATCAAAGTGCTAGCATAGTGAACAAAACACAAACTTTGTCTCTGAGGGGATATCTGTTGCAAAAGAGAGAAAGACAGAAAAGAGACAACAACAGACAGAAAGACAGAAAGAGGGAAAGAGAGACATATAAACAAAAATATGCATTAAGTCCTAATTGAGGAATATAGAATTCAGAAAGACAGTTCCTAAATTTGTTGAAAGGAAAAGGAATTTAGAAAAGCTTTCAGGAAAGGAGATAACATTTCAACTAAATCCCAGCAAATAAGAAGAGAAAACAGGCTAAATATATTTTAGAGAAAATAATCACTAAGATGGAGTAATGTGAATTTTTAAATTTGGTTTTACATTGCCATAGTCCTTTTTTTGAGTTGGGGGGAATGACACTTTCTTTCAATATTATGTGTGTTGAAAGTAACCCTATACAGACATGTTCACTAATCTTCAAAGCCATTTTGATCTTCCTTTCAACTATACTTGTATTGTTAGTCTAAAAAGTTTCATAAAGACAAAAACAGAAAATTCATGTGTATATGTTATGCTATCATAAGTATTATATATTTATTATTGGCAAATGGGGTTATCTCCATAAAAAACTAAATTATACAGAATGCCTATTTACCTGATCACTGTATTAAAAAGTGTCACCCAGAGAATTTACATTTATGCTATTGCTATTGATTCTACCTAAATCATAAAGTTAATGTTAAGTAATTTCATTCACTAAGTCAGAAATCTGAGACAAGATGTAATTTTGACACTTTCTTAACATCAGCACCACTTTTATAAAATAAAATGCTGAAATTATAGCCAGAGGATATGTTTTCAAACTTGGTGAGATGAAGTAGATGACATTTCAAAAACAACCCTTAAACATTGAACTAGTCACAGAATTCAAGGCTACCAAAATTAACATTCCATGGTTTCATTCATCAGCAAGTACTGGTGGAGGCCTCTTTACACACACAATATAAACCTATTCATACCAGCAGCTTAAGATACTTAAGTCTGCCAAGTTTCACAGGTGCTGCCTGCGGAGAATGTCCCAATAGTCAGCCACTCCTCCCTTGCAAAAGACAAATCTCCATTCACAAGAGACCAAAAACTTACAGAGAGGCTATGTTTTAAGATCTTTGAAGCCAATTCAATTTAGAGCATGAGCAGTTGTAGCTCCTCTTAATAACAGGTGCAGAATGATACACTGACTCTCTTATAAATATTCTTGAAAAAATCACCCCCATTTAGCATTTTAATGTCGTGTTTCTTTAAATAATTCCTGCTTTTCTGTAACAGCTCTTACAGACTGCATCCAATTTATTTTACTGATGAAAATATCTAATGCCAATTGATCTGTTGTTCTGTGCAAATTTTGCCACTAAAATATTGATATATTTTTATAGATTTGATAGTGCTCACATAATGGGGAAAATTCCATTTTCTTCATATATTCTAAATCCCTGTATCTCTTGGCTATTTTGACAGAAATGAAGATGATTTTATGCCTGAGATTTGAATACATACTTCTTCACTGAGACCTCATGTTTGGATACATCTGTCAGCAGTGCAGTGGCAAGGAAAATACACAATGGAGTAAATTCGAGACTTACTTCCATAACTTACTAACTGAACAACTACTAAAATATCACTTAATATTTTAATCTTCACTTTCCTGTGAAGTTGAATAATAAATCCTGATTTATACATCTCAGAGAGTTCATGTGAGGATAGAGTAAGATATCATTTATTAAAAATATGAATGAAAGTATGAAATACAAGAACAAGAGCCATGTAGAAAGGAATATCAAAATATAAAGAGATTTTTCTCAGAAGAAAATATAGGACAAACTCAAGTATGTAATTGGTAAAGATTTCTTAGGATTTGAATACATTACCTACAGAAGAAAAAGATTTATAACTTAAGACTTCAACAGAATTAAAAAGATCTCTTCAAAATACATCATTAAGGAAATGAAATAGCAAGTCATCCTCTAGAACACAAAATTTATAATTCTTTTGTCTGAGAAAATACTTAAATGGAAATATGCAAAGAAATACTACACCTAATAATAAGAAAACAGCTCAATAAAACTGCACAAAGTGTTTGAGCCAACATTTTACAGAACATCATAAATAGAAGGTCAAGAAGCGCTTCAAGTAATATTTTAACATAATCAGCTATAGTAAAAGGAAATTTCAGTGCCATTCTATTCAAAAATTGGAAAATGTAAGAATTTAGATGTGGCTGGATCTAAAACAGTGCTATTTTAAAACTTTTTTTACATATTTAACATTGGAAAAATGATAGGGGTTTGTTCTATTTTTTTTCTTACTAATTCTATGTTAATATATATGTGTTGATCTTTGTTTTAACAGAAGTTGCCATGTGACAAAAGTGGTGAGTGACCTTGAATGTTTAATTTGAGTGCAATTTTGTTTGTATTTTAATAGAACCGAAGGCAAAGCCTTTCAAAAATAGTTTTATACTTAGGAAAATGTTAATTCTAAATGCAAAATTTTAAAATATGGGACTAAAGTACTTTTAAGACAATTTAATCTAAATGTCAAAAACTTCACTTTATGTTTCATGAATGAATTCTATAAAGAAAAAATGACCTTTCTGGACTAAGGAACCTGAGATTAAAGACCCTGGAATAAGCCTGAATAATTGTTATCACAAAAAAGTTTTCTCATAAACCAGGAGTAAATTTTATTTTTGCTTTTCAAGACTTTAGAATTTTTTCTTGAATAGTCTGTGTCATGTGAGTAAAGAAAAATAAAGGAAAGAGGTTTGCTAACCCCTTTCCTATTTAACCCATTTCACATTTGCCCACAAAACACTCACGGGTGGCATTTGCTACTACAGCATTTACTCCAGGATAGCTTGCTATTTTCAGGAACGAATTTACTCCCTGCATTTGGTATGAAATATCCCACTGTCATTATTACTATTTTCCCATTGTTTTCCTATATCCATAGTCTTTGGAAACAAAATATATCATTCTGTTTGTAGCATGCTATTTTTTTTGTAGCAGTATTTCCATTTACAAAGTATTGTAATTTTAGATTGTTGAAAATGTCACATCCTAGAAATCACAATATTTGCACTGCTACATTTCGATCAGAGACAAATTCTATTTAGAAATAAGATAATTGAAAACCAGTCAGATTTGCTTCAACCTCAGTCTGTGTTTATGTAAAGTTACATGAAGGCTGGCAGGGAGATGCCCTTTTTTTTTCTAAATGGGAGAAAAATAAAACTGATTTACAAGAAACTTTCTACTGGGCTTCGTTGTTTTGTTTTGGTTTTTTTCCTGTGCTGGTGATGAACCCAGGGCCTAATGCATAGTAGGCAAAAGCTCTACAACTGAGCCCCACCCCAGGAAGATTTCAATAAAATAAATTACTTTAAATCTATAGAAATGGACAAAGGTTTAGAAGAAGATAAAAGACAGGGAACCTATAGGCTCATTTGGTTATCTTTCCAAAGTTTCAGGCTAATATAGGATAGTAGTTTTGGTGGGTAAATCTAATAGTGTAAGACTCATCCTCATGGCAGACAAGCTACCTCTAGCATTGTAAGGTTGCCTGTTCCACTGGCCATGTCCATGTAATTCAACTTGGTTAAGACAAAACAGACCATACTATAGAGAAAATAGATCAGGGGAGGGAAGGAAAATGTGATACTGTTGGGTAACTCTTTTACCCATGATGCTGTTCAGTGCTCAAGACTGGAGCTTACAATGAGAATATAGTTTTTGCATTTTCCCAAGGAATATTGAAGAAAGACAAGGAATCAGTACCTTTATGTATATGGAAATAGTAGAAGAATGTTCCAAAGGACTGCTTCAAAAAGCAATATCCTAACACTGGAATAGTCGTTGCACCTTTATATGACATGCTAGAGTAAAATTTGAAAGTATTTAATGAATGAATAGTATAGCATGGAAACCAACCCATCAAAATGAACACTCAGAATATCAGAACATAGGGTGCTGCTATGCCGCTGTATCCTGTCTCTAGCTGAGTATCAGTACTGTGGTATACCACCAACGATGTCAAATCATTTTAATCAAGCATCAAGAAGGAAAGTAATACCTTTGATCAAGTGGTCTTTCTGCCTCACAAATTCATGCAAGGAGCATGATTCCTGTCTTTCTTGTTGGTTGTTCATGTCCAACAAAATGAGTAAAGGAGTTTTAGGGAGAAAAATTCTATTTGTTAGATGGATGCTAAAAGAGACACTCAAGACCCGTGAAATAATTCACTAGCAGAAGTACCATGAAAATGTGTTAAGTATATTCCAGGAGAGATCAGTGTGAATTATTCCTTTTTTTAAAAAATAACAATCTTGCTACTCTGAGTGTGCAGTGTCATGCTACTGTGTGCTATGTGGTACATCAAGATTGCAGGTGCCCTAAAATATTTGTCATGAAATATCCTATGGCCTTGCCTCTATGTGGTCATTTTATTTTCCAATCATATTTATATTTATTTTTAAATGACATTTTGCATTATTTTTCATTTTCAAATTATATTGGGTTGTCAACACAAGTTGCCTTGCATAGTTTTCTTTAGCCTGCAAAAAATGTAAATAACATTTCTGACCACTTAACTATTAGAAAAAAATCTAACCTGTTGGTATATCTCATCTGGATACTTTTCAAAATGAGTATTTGTCATTTATTCCTATAATTTGTTGAACACTCCTAATTAATAAGCTGACCACATTTCTTACTACAATACAATTCATGAGGAGTCTATTTCTTGAGAACTAGGTTCAATTATACCTAGGGCTTTTAACAGGCTTTCCACTCTGCCTGTAATTATTTCCCCAAATGGATATATAGCTGATTGCACCCTCACTTCCTTCAGGACTTTGCTGATAATTTCAATTAAGACTGTATCTACATAGGATCCAGTCAACCACTACTGATATATATCTAATGGAAACAGAATCACTATGTCAGAGACATGCGCACTCCCACATTTACTGCAACATTATTCACAATAGCCAAGAAATGGAAAAAACCTTTATGTCCATCAACTAGTAAATGAATAAAGAAAATGGGGTACCTATAATAATGGAATCTTACTCACCAATAAAAAATAATGAATCTTATCATTTGTGAGAACATGGATAGAACTGGAAATCATTATGTTGAGCAAAATAAAGCAAGTACAGAAAGACAAGTAACCAATTGTCACTTGATCTTAAAAAGCTGATAACGTAGAAGTTGAAAAGAGCCTGGTGATCAGCAGAGGGAGAGGAGAGAGGAGGTGGTGTGGGGAAAGGCTGATGGATTGGCACTGAGGTGGCTCAGAAATGAGATGTTCTGGTGTGCTGAGGCACGGGTGTGTTTGGGTAGAACAATAATGTGCTGTACATTTCAAAAAGCTAAAAGGAAGGATTTGGGATTTTTTTCCCATAAAGAAATGATAAATGTTTGAGGAAATGTGTATGTTTAACCTGACTTAAACTTTATACAATATATACATGTAACAGAACATAATATGTTAATGTTGCCCCACTATTAAGAAATTTGTTTTGTTCTTATAAGTCGAAAGTTAATTAAAAATAAAAAACTGTATACCTAGAACTCCTGATATTCCCTATCTTCTTTCTATTTTTTTTGCCATAGCATTCACCACTTTCTAAACTAATACATATTTTGCTTGTCTTCTTGACTTACTGAGACAATTACTCCAAGTATTACTCCAATACATCACATATAATTTGTATATATTAAGCCGATGCACCTTCTTCACCTATAAATGGCATTAAATATTTATTGGTTGAATGAAAGAATAAATAGTTGAAATTTCTAAGTAATTTCTTTATTTTCTCTTCTTTAAGAATTAAGGCATTTAATATTACAAATTTTAGTTCAATTTTAGAATTTTTAGTGTTCTCTGAGGTACTTCTATTAAATAATCTCCTTTGAATTGTTTTCTTTAGAATTTGAAATTTCCCTTCAGATTTTCTTTGGTTTAAGAATTAACTAAGGCAGAGCTTTTCATTTCCAATCAGGTAAGAATTTTACTTTTGAAAATTGTACTTTAAAAATTTCACTATACCATGTTACTCTACTAGGTTGTGATAGAAGAAAATGGCTTAAAACTCTACTTTAAAAAATCTTTTTCGATATCTGGATTTTAACCACTGTTGGAGTATTTGTGTACTCTGTTCTTCATAGTGCGTAGCTCATTTGAATTCTACAATCACAAAACAAATAGTTATATACACTGAAGTCTATTTCTACAGTTTGTAAGATTTTCTACACTATTTCAATTACTATGGCATCATTCATTAACAATAGCAATATTCATATAAAAGATATATCTTTGAATTTTAATAATGACTAAGATTTTCCATATACAGTTTAGTTGTCATAATAATCCTGTAAGGTAAGTACTCTTATTATTCACACTCTACAAATAGGAAACCAAGATAAAGAAATATAAATTCCAGTGGTTACTCAGCAGTGCAGCCAGGAATCTCCTAGAATGTTATTTAATTGCCTTACAAGAGATTTTAATATTTGATGATGCTGGGTTACTGTAACTTTCCCTCTTTAAAATAATACTACTTTTCCTTGCTTATTATTCCAGATTAAATTTTCTTTATTAATGTTCTTTATTAGATGAATATTTAAGTATTAATTTAATATGATATAATCATATTAAATTAATATGTTTTAATCATAATATAATATGATTTTGGTGGGTACTATTCAATGACAATATTACCTTTATAAGTCTTATCAGTGCATATTGGTAATACAGAATGATGGGTTTAATTGTGACACCATGAATATATGAACATAACATGCCTGGTCTATCCACTCCCCATTATCCTCTCTTACCCTCCCTTCCTCCAGTCCTCTATCCTTGATTTGCTCTCATAGTCTCCCTTCTATTTGCATGTCATTTGTAGTTGTCAACTCTGAAAACAGACATGTGAGATGTCTGTTCCCTTTTCCCATAGAAACATTAAGTGAGGTCTTAAAATGTGCCAAATTTTTAAGCTCCTTGATGAATGAGGAAGAAATGAAATGCTCATTTAAAATGATTGACATTAATTCAGAAATCATTGCACAATATAATTTTGTTCAATAATTAGTCAGTCTTGTTGGTCATTTTTGTTTCCCTTTGGGCTCAAGTCTTCCAAGAATATTGCTTTCTGTCTCTCCATCATTTTGTCTGTGTGTCACTGTCTGTTTCTGTCTCTTTCAGAAACCAATTTTCTTTTTTTGGCAATTCTATTATACATATTATTTTGTCTCTCCCCCGTGCCTTTCATGACTCTTACATTTTTGGTAAATTATACCCCCCATTCTTTATTTGAACTACTGGATCAGCTTCTTTTGATAAATCAATTCAATTTTCTGCAATCGTCTGCTCCATTTGTTTTAGATTTAAATTTAGTAATCTTATTTATACCTCCTCACTTTTCTGTCTGATTTATTCCATGACTCAGTGCCTGTTCATGGATTCAATAGCCTCTCATATTTCTTAGAGGTGAAGGTTTAGGTGGAGCTTACAGCCCTTCTCTATCAAACAGGGTGAACTTGGAAAATATCATGGTGCATAGACAAGAACCCAAGCTTGCTGGCCAGATTCCCTGAAGTTTAATCCAAACTACCACCACTCCCTGATTAATTTGGGACAAGTTCTTTAAAATTTAAACTTAAGTGTCCTCAATTCTAAATATGAATAATAGGACATACTATCTACCTTGTAACATTCCACTAAATGAAGACAAGCAAGTGAAGCACTTGAAACATTTTTTGATACATAGTTTTTGCTAAATACATGTTAGCCAGTGAACTAACCAATCCTGCCATTTCTCATTAGGGCATTCAATTCAAAGAATCATCTTTTACCATGGTATGCCTGTGGCTCTGCACATTGATGATTGCACCAAACGACCTATTTGGCTCTTAGGTAGATATTTCACTTGGTGTGATAAAGTTTGAATTGGCCCGCTTTGCCTATCTTTCTGTTTGTGATCTGTGGGATATTTTTCACAAAAACTGTTCATTCTTGCATATTGATTAAACAACTTCAAGTAGTGATATAATTTTGTCCAAGGTAATTTAGAAGAAATCATCTAAGAAAAAATCATGTATTTAGATCATAATCCCATAAAATTCTTTTATTTTAAGTATATAATTGAAGATACACACATTTATGAATGTGTAATGCTTCCTATTGATAAGCTTTCTTTGTGTTCTTACTATTTTGTTTTTAGATTTGTTTATAGCTAACTTTC